CCCTGGGCATGGCTGAGCCGGTTGTGACACGGGAACAAACGCTCAGGGAAGGGCCAGGGAAGGATGCTGCCAGGGGGTGCCTTGCAGGAGCATCAGGAAGGAGGCAAGAGCAGGAGAAGGGACCCTTCAACCCCAAGCCTGGTCCCACCTCTCCGGTGCCCCTGCTTGGGCTGTACCGTTTCCTTTGGCAGCAGTGTTAAACGCTGGCACAGCTCCCATCCACCGAGACCCACTGCTCCCCACAACCTCTCTCCTAAGGGCTCCTGCTTTTCTCCCCCCAGCAGCCGGAGCAGGGCAGCTCGCGCATGCCACCTCCCACTCCCGGAGCACACCAGGCTTTTTCCTTTCCATGTTTCTCCCCAACACATATCTTGCGATCACGAGTGTTGGAAATGGATGTGACAGACAAGGAGGCATTGTTGGGGCAGCTGAGCACCAGGGCGTTGTACTCGGGCAGGACAAAGGCCGTTGTGTTTCTTCCGTGACAATAAGCAATGAGGGCTTACGCAGGGGCAGAGCGGCTTTCCAAAGAGCCCTTCTCCTCCCCACCGGTGGGAGATGACTCCGCGGTTCCCCTGCCAAAGCGGAGGTGAGCGCAGGAGCCGGGCGGTGCTGGCAGCTTCACCAGCTCTGCCCAAAGAGATCCCAACCCCAGCGGGGAAACAGAAGATGCCGCAGCTGCATCTGGGGCACGTTCTCACCCCAGCCTTGCCATGGGGATCTCCCTGGGACGTTCGGTCATGCAGGGAAACGCGGAGGGTGCAGGGCTGGAGCCGCCTTGCTCTCCGGCAAGCGGGTTCGAGACTCCCTGCTTTGTTCTAGTCCAGCCGGGAGGCGAAGAAGGACGGTGAAGCAGAGCCCACCAGCACCTGGCCGGCTCTGTGTCCCGGTGCACGGGCTGCGGTTGAGGCTGCAGAACCGACAGGGCAAGTCACGGAAAGCGCCATTTGCTTTGCAACACCCTTTCTTTTCCAGGCCCCATCGCTACGTGCTGGTGCCCCATCCTCTGCTTGCTCCATCATGGGTTAGGGGCCTTCAAAATAAAAAAAAAAACCTGCAAACTTGCTGCTGTGGCTGCTCCAACGAGTTCCCGGGGGGGGG